ATAGTTAAGAATGGAGCCTACTGTAGCAAAATTCAAGTTAAATACACAATGATTTGAGTTAAATACAGAATGGTTTGAGTTCATTATACAATACTACTTACACAGTATTATACAATAATACTGTTCTGGCTTACATACAAATTAGACTTAAGGACAGACCTTGGGAATGGAACTCGCTCTTAAACTGGGGACTACCTGTATTTGGAAACCTTTAATAAAGTCCAGGGCATTCATTTAAAAATGCAGGGTAGGCCATAAAAGCAAAAATAACTGAATAAAATGTAAAGATAAATAATACTCAGCATTCTCAAAATATTCGTCTGATATTTTAATATTTTCTCTGACTTTCAATACTAGTTTGCTATTATCATAATTACAATCTGAATTCAAAACACACTGTAAACCTAATACTTGCTTCTTGCTTTATTGCCCATATTTAAAAAGATGGCTATTATCAATGTTTGCTCTTTTCAAAAACAAGACCTGCATCTTCTACAGGTTAGATGTCAAATATATTTTTCTGCATGTAAGGATGAAGGATGTAACTGTAAGACTGTTTGGCTCAAGGGCATATTGGCTTAAGGTCAAGAGTATCTTATTCTTTCCCTTCACACAAGCTTCTGGTTTAAAAGAAAGTCGCCAAACCCATGGCTATATTTATAACTTAGCAACTCCACTAAATAGGAAGTTCTCTTTCATTCTGTTGGCAACTCTGGCTGTCACATGGCATAAGCAATCCAATTGGAGAGTAGCTTTGAACAAATTTAGTCTAGCAAACCCAAGATAGCCTTGGGTTTAGTTAAAAATACCACTTCTGGTATTTAATTGTGTGGGATAATAAAAAGTAGTCAGTATTCCCAAGTTCTATTTATGCCTTGGGTAGACACATAAAGTAAAACGGTGGATGATTTTAGAATTATTATTTAAAATGATCCAAACTGGCAAATTAGCACATTTCAAAACACATGTATATATCTGACCTAAGAAGATTTCCTCCCTTCTATTATTTCCATCTTCTTGCAACAGGGTAAAGTAATGCAATAACTGATGGCTTTACACTAGCAATTAGAAGTATTTTAATTTTATAATTACTACAGTAAATCTCTCCAAAATCTACATTTCTGTTTCTTTGTTGCAAGCAGACTATTTTTAGATGCAACAGGAAAATGCAAGTGCATTAAAATTCTAATTTGACAAAGATTGTGTACCCTCGCAACTTCAACAGCAGTATCATCATATTATTCTCGAACTTGGCAACAGGAAAAGACACATGGGCCTCTGTTCCCCATGAAAAAGTGGTAAACAAAGAACTTTTGATATTTAAGAGAGAAAGAGATGATTCTCTAAAATAGAAGCATTGTTGAATTATGGCACTGTGGCAGACGTCTCAACCTTATAATGACCTCTCATCTTCGTTCTGCCCTACAGCAAGTGACTCTTCTTATTACTCCACATTTAAGACAGAAAGAATGCACATCTGCAGTGAGGTCTAAACTCAAATTTGTCACCAAAGGAACCAGAGTTCTGTACACAATTGCATTTTTATTTACCAATACCCATCTTCTACAGAATTTTTTAAAATCCTTTACTAAATTTCCAACCAATATATTACAGTATATATTTTTTACAAAGAAAGCAATCACATTTTCTCATCATTTAATCTTAAGCCACCAAGATTCTTTCTGGCAAAATGGGTGATGCTTGTGTTAGATCTGCACTTAAGAAGCACTCATTTCACATGCGCTGAAATTTACATTGTTCTAAAATTATGCGTGGGTGGGGGGATGGAAATGGATTTGCTTTAAGAAGCCAGAAGAGGGCACTCATTAGTAATCAATCAAATTCCATTCAAATCTTATAATGGAAAAAGTCAAGAATCTTAAACGGATATTTCCAAAATGAAACAGGATTGCAGTGACTAGAATTCCAGAATCAAGAAAAGTAATATTTTCCAAGGTTTTATAGAAGTGGGAGATACTAATGAATGTAAATGGCTGCAATCTACATGTTAAGGCCACAGAAATAAACCCATTTTAAAGTATCATGCTAAAGTTTGTAAGCTATAACACATTTTTATATCATCAAGCCCAAAACAACAGTACCAGCTCTTAAGATTTTCCTTTCAAAAAGTCAAATATGGGAGTAATTATGTCAATACACAGAGAAGATTTTCTTTCGCTTTAATGAAAGTATAAGTCTTGATAATAAACTAAAACTTGTTTTTTTAAAAGTATATTTTAGTCAGTGGTATTGTGGCAAGTCTCCACTGAGTCAAAATCCTTTTCCTTGGTAGGAAGGGAAGGTGAGAAACATTTGGGACTGTTTGTAGTAGATGAAAAGTGAGACTAAAACAGAAATTGGCAGTATTAGTTAAGGTCTACCTATGTTTGTTTAGGCAGATGACTTAGGTAATTTTTCGGTTAAGTGTGCATGGTTTGTTGTCTAACATTATATTTTCCTTGTAGAATCATGTGTGTGCATTAAAATACTGTTTTTGTACACTTGACTGATCTACTCATAGAAGGTTGCCCCCTTGGGTACCACAAGAGCAGCTAAGCTTTTCTAACATAGCTACAAATTTGGAAATAGAAAGGGAAGAGAGGGTTTCTGTTTTGCCCAGGGAGGAAGAAACTTGCAACTAAAACAGGTAATGGAAGCCCATCCCCACTTCACCATGGAGGAAATTGCTGCACCAGAAAACACTTCTGAGTACTCTTGGTTAGCATCTAGCTTGGAAAAGTACTTAGATTGCCAGAAAGCCAAGATAAGATTTGGGATAAAAGTAAGAAGTAGAACCATTATGTCCTTGATCCACACATAAAGTGGAAGGCAAATGATCCACTTGTTAAAAATTCCTGAAGCACTTCCTGGAATAACACCAAAAACCTCTACACATTGACATAATATACTTGCATGTGACAATTTCCAAGAAAAGTTTTGAATCAGCTCTTTGATTTATCTGGTGTACTTCCTTATAAGAGTCTGCATGACTACACATAAAAAGATTTCCCTTTTAAAAAAGACTGCTTAAGCGTAAGGAAGTTGGGAAATCTCAACACTGAGAAAGCGCTTGTGGATAGGATTTTCAAGGAATAACCTAATCTGCTCTTAATCACATTATACAGAGTTATTTTAAGACTGGCCTCATGCTAACTCTCTGTTGTGGAGTCTGTAACCATTTTAATAAGGTACATAAAACATTCTTCTGTTTACCTGCACTGGTGCCTGCACCGGTTGTGAGGTCCCCACCCATCAGGCCACCTAGGAGAGGACAAATAAAATAGTCAAACTGAGAGAGGAGCTGAAGAAACCACAAAGGTCAAGCAGCAATTACAGTTTATTCCTCAAAGTAATGTGAGCCCTAGAGGAGTTTTCACCACCAGAATTTTCATAAAGATCAGGCTGTTTGAGCCACCCTGACTCCTGTCTATGTACAACACGATCCAATTCCTCTTTCAAAGCATAAGCATTATTTAGTGGCTTCAGTGGGTAACAGCTCAGGACAATATTGATTGAATTTGTAGTGAATAAACTGTTATTACAATAAAAGATTTCACTGTCAACTTTTGTGATGACATTATACACAGTCACTAATATTTCACAGATTTTTTCCATCACCTTTTCCAACTTGGTGACCCTCAAATGTGTTGAAATGACTTGTCCCTTCCACACTGATTGGAAATTCTAGGAATTGTAGATACACGGGCAAGAGATTGGAGGAAAGGTGGTTTACTTTCTACTTAAAAGGAATGAAACTTAGCTGAATCATACTGAAATATTTTAAAGCACTGCTTGTGTTTCATATCTTATGAAATAAGTTAAGTCATATGCCTTTGAAGCATATTCACATTCTAGTAGTGTATGCAGTGTAAACAGAAACCAACTTCTATGACAATGTTCTTGCCTATACCACAGGATACCAAATATTATTACTGCACCTTTGGTTTTTTTTTCACCCCCATAACATTTTAAGAAACAAATCAGGACAGGACCATCCAATGCTGCCAAAGTACCTGCTGCGGTATCAACAAAACAGTGAAAACAACAGGGTTACTGGAAAGCAAATTGATGAGATTGTTCCATGCCTTATTCTCAAGACCTCTACCAACACTGTGTGGTCCTTTGTCTTTTTTCCTTGGCAAGTGAGCTCATTTACAAAGAATTGGGCTGCAGTTACTTGCCATCCCCCCCCACCCTGCAGAACATCTATAAAGCCTATGTGGAATCAACAGTCTTTTGGGGGAAAAAGACAATCTGGACACCATTATTTGCTTTGCTACTCTATTAGCTTTCTTTTCAATTTTGTGTAAATTTATAATGCATCAGGAGGCTAGGAATCCTCAACATGGCATTCATGGACACACTGGTGCCCATGGGTGGCATTCTGTAGAACTGGCTAAGGTTAATAGTTTTAGGATGCCTACCACATGTCAGAAAAGGGAATCAAAATAGCTCTTTGTGAGGCACTAATACTTTTCCATGTGTGCTAAGGCCTCCCATGTCCTTACCTAATTTTGCTTCAGTTCATACTTGTAAAATTCATCTGCATTGGAAAACAATTTATGAAACGTAAGATAGTTATCAGAATGAGTGCATGGTGATAGTGGGGAAGTATGAGCAGATTTTTTCTATTCAAGGCCAGTACAAATTACTGGCCCTTTGTTAAGTATTCCAATGTTTGGAAGCCAACAGTGCAGGCTGCTTCAATTCAAATTGCTTTGCAGTCATGGGGTCTATGTGATTTGCACAGCTGATTCCCCGTAGTTACCATGAGTGTCCTTCAGGGGAAAGTTGGGGCCTTCTCTTGGGACACATCCTAGATACTTCATTGCTCATAACAGCAGCAGAACAAAATGCTAATGGAGTGAATAATATTAGGAAACCACAGGGGATAAACCTGTATTGAGTACATGCTAGAGAGTCATAACACAATTTCCTCCCTTGAATATTTCCAAGAAATGTAAATGTATTTTTGGGTAAATATGATCCTTAGGATAATCACAAATACTAAATTATTTTTTAAAAGTCATGTTCCATATACTAGAGATCTTATTTAAGTGTGTGACATGTTTAAAATTGATTGTGTTCAGAGTATATAAAATAATGTTCCTAATCCTTGTATGTTCTGCTTTTCAAAGCTGATTTTGCGATCAGATGAAAGGCAGCATCTTCTGTACAGAGTGAGATCATATGGATCTTCCCTGATGGTCACTGGACTGGTGGTTGAATCCCCCCTCCACCTGTTGGTATTGGGGGGCTTCAACCTCCGTGTGTGTGGGAGGACTGGGGCTAGGGAGCTCCTCAGTGGCTAGTTCCAACTGGTGGTAGTAGGTGGGAAGAGGTCATCCTGGTGGCTGCTCCCTTGTGAGGTGCTGCAGGATCAGTTCTCTCCCTATTGTTAAATATCTAATGAAACCACTGGGTGTCATGCCATACATCAGTTTAGGTTTTGGATATCTAGCTTTATATGTTGACCATAGGCCATACTGGTGAAGTCTTATCCTGGTCTGCAGCTGTGAGGGTCTAGAGAGGGAGAAAACAGCCTAAAATAGAATTCTAGGAAGACAGAGTTACCATTTAAGTAATCGGACAGCTCTTGTGATATTTCTTGATGGGAAATCTCTATCCATGAAGGAGGAGATTCACAACTGGAGGTTCCCCCTAGACTTGTGGCTCCTGCTGGAACAGCAGGTGGATGTCATGGCAAAGGGCCCCCAGATCTGGCTGGTGCATCAGTTGCAGCCCTGCTGGCGTGAGAGAACTTTCCTACAGTGACCCATGCCATTGTCACCACTTGCCTAGATTATTGCAACAGTCTATGCAACGGTGCCTTAAAGACAACTTGGAAGTTTCAGTTGGTCCAAAATGTAGCGGATGATGTATTATCTGGCACTCTCTGGTGGGAGTATATTACATCTTATTATTGTCCCTGCACAGCCTTCTAGGTCCAATTTAAAGTGCTGGTGTTAACCTAAAAAGCCTTTTATGGTTTGGCACTGAGCTATCCTCAGGACTATGTTCATCGATTAGAATCAGCTTGCCCTATTCGATCTTTCTGGGAAAAGCACCTGATGATTCCCCACTTTCGGGAGCTGAAGTGCAGCAGTACTGCTTTTTTGTAGCAGCATCAGCCTCTGGAATCACCTCCCACTGGAACCTAGATTAGCTCTGACTTCAGCCATCACCTGGAACCAATTGAAGATGGAGCTCCTCCAAAGGACATTTGGGACTGTTTTTGGATTTTCTGGTTGCTATGTTTCAGGTTTTACATAATGCTAACTGGACCATGGATGTTTAATTATTTTTGTATTCTGCAAAGCTGCTAGGAGTCCTGTGGGATTCAGGTGGGGTATAAATGTAACAAATAAATACAGCCTTCAGATGGAAATTTATGTATGTCTGAGTGTCTAATGATGCAACACATTATTCTAGAAGCTGCATTTATTCACTTGATTGCAGATTCAAATGATCTATAATCCCTTTAGTTATGTTTCCAATTTTCTTCTCTAGCTTTTAAAATTATGATTATATAAAAGTAGGCCTTTTGCATTTTTATGATGTAGAATAAAAGCTTACAACTTCACTTTCTAAAACAGTTTTAACTGAGATTTAACAGAGGAGAAAATGGATTAAGATCAGAAATTAGTAGATATGAGCTACTGGGAACCTTTTTCTGCTGCAAGTCTCACTTTCCTCCTGAACATGCATGTTTTCCAACCGGGCTTGCATAATAGCATCCAGGAGGTTGAATCCACTAATTCTCATGTTTCAAATATAGCCTTCTTATATTATCTACCTCTAGTCTTCCACAGTATTTAGAGCCTTTTAAAATATATCTTATTTAGTTGTAAATACTAAGGCTGGATTATCATCAGAAAACATAGCATTTTAGGATAAGGGGCTATAATCAGTTTAAAGGCAATGAGAGAGAAAAGATTTGGGATGTAAAAAGAATTTTGCCAAAATTCCTCTGGGTATGGATTTTGGGGTCAATGATCCCACAACTGGAGAACCTGTAGCAGGACACATGTTAGCCACTAATGAAGTCCACATAGAGAGAGAGAGAATACACATACAGTGGGGCAAAAAAGTATTTAGTCAGCCACCAATTGTGCAAGTTTTT